TGAAGAGCAGCTGAGATCTTCCTTCCATGGCATAGAATATGCAGGACACTTTTCCTTTATTTTACTGTGGGCCCTGTTAGTCTGATGATAGGATGGACACTAGCTTAGTCATAGAGCACCTGTTTCACAGGCACAAGGGTTGAGAGTCAGTCAATCTGATGGTAGAGGAAGAGTAGGCACACATGGCTTTAGAACAATTACAATCATTTTTGGAAAATATCAGAGTATTATTGTATGAGATGCCAGAGGATTGGAGAAGAACTAACATAGCCATGGTTTCAGAGTCAGGGCTCCAAGACATGAGCTAATTAGATCTGGCCAGATGATGCCACTGTTGTGGCCCGCCAGCGGCCAGTGAATCTGGAAGCAGAGCCGGACAGTGAGGAGGTTGGGGAGGAACATGGGCCACTCTTGGGGGTTGAGGAAAACTCAGTCGAGGGCTCTGTGTCGGTGGCAGAGAAGGAGTTAGACAGCAGTGAGGCAGAAGAACAACTGGAGCCTGTTCCCCGTGTGCGCATGGGCAGGGCTGCCAGAAGACAAGAACAACTGAGAAAGCAGGATTGACAAGGGTAAAGCCACACCTTGGAGCTGATTGGCCCCTCCCATAGAAAACAAAAGAGAAATGAACAGGGCGTGGGCTTTTGCAGGAAACAATTCATTTGGTCGGGTCCGGAGTGGAAAGTTCTGTTTGCGATTTTAAGAGACTCTGTGTCAAGTTTTGCTTTGTCCTGTGTTTGGAAATTAGTTTTCTGGCAGCGCTCCAAATGAGATAAGGTGCGTGTGGATAAACATTCTTCTGAAAGACTGTCTGCTAAGCCTTGCTGACTGTGAATGAAAGGAATTCATAGTCGTATAAATAAAAGAGGTTTTGTCGGGACCAACACTCTGCTTCTTGCTTTCTAAGGAAGCCTGGGTCAGAACAGTCACCGCAGCTGCTGAATCAAACATTGACACACTCTTGAGTGACTGGTGCTAATGGTTGATTGCCAGCGTCCTAGGTACCAACCAAGTACCTTCTTAAAATATAAGATGTTCCGAGTAGTAGCACAGTTTTTTGCAGTTCTGCTGGTGTTATTGCAGGAAGCTGCAATTTGTTGATGTATCTTGTAAAATTCTTGGACATGGTGCCAAGTGCCCCGATGACAATGGGTATCACTGTTACATGCTTCATCCATAGCCGTGTANATAAATAAATATCACCTTTAAAAAATGAGCCAGATCAAGCCTGGAGAGAAAAACATTCCAGTAAGAAATCCACTCTGCCCCATGCGTTCCTATGAAAGAGGTAGTTAAGCAGTGGTTTCAGATGCTGCAACTTCTCCATTCCATGCCTCCCATTCCTTGGTCACCTGAACACTAACGTAAGTAATGTATTCAATCTGCCCTGTTTTCTTTAGTGGCCACCTATGCACACAGATTTAGCACAATTGGATAACACATACTGAAATATATTGCTTTGTTATACAGAAGAAAATACAGATGCCTCTTAGTGGATGGGATTGTTGGAAGAGTAGTTGGAAAGAATTCTAGAAGTCATCCTATGCATACTTTCCCTGCCTTGTTTCTACAGAGTATACTTGGCACATTATGGGGAATTATTCTCTGATTCCACAGACTCTATTTGAAATGACTCCAGAATCCTATAGTTCAGTGGTCCCCAAACTTGGCAATGTTAAGACTTGTGGACTTCAAATCCCAGAATTCTCAAGCCAGCTATGAATTGAAGTCCACAAGTCTTAAAGTTGCCAAGTTTGGGGACCTCTGCTATAGTATATAGATAATACTTGGCGCAGTCGATCTTGGCGCCTGCGATCCAATTCCCAAAGGAACGAAAAAGCTGCAAGGGAGCAACTAGTTGCTCGCGCAGCTAGTTGGACTACTTTGGGGTCCCGCGGTTGCAAAACCCGGGATAGGAGCTCTGCGAAATGTGATCCCAGGCAACACACTTGCGCTATCTAAGAGGCGGAATATCCAATAAGAAGCCGCCCTGGGGGGGGGGGTGTCTCAGAGAAAAAGGCGCCCTAGCTGTGCCGAGAATCTTGGAACATCTGGAATCCGCCGGGAAGACGTGCGTTGCGTTCTCTCGCTCCGCTGCTGCCAAGAGGCAACAAAGAAGGGACGGTGTGCCATTATTGCGCGTGGCAGCCGTGGAATTCCCAGGGTGGCTAGGAGATGAGGTTCAGGCTGAGAGGCGCCCTGAAGTGTGTCTGCCTGAGCGCAGCCTTCTCCTTGACGTGGTACCTAAGCTTCCACAAAATTGAAGGTGAGAGCAACGAAAACCGGGGTAGGAGTGGGGGGCTGTGTAACAAGGGCCCCAACTGCGCCTAATTTTTTTTTTCCGCTGGAGGAGCTCAACTTTCGGCTCTCCAGCATTAGGCAAGGGCAGTGAGAGTTGCTTGCACCATCCGAGAGGGTGCTCCCAAGTTTCAACTTCCACCGATGCCATTTCTCTCGGCAAGCAGCTCCCGAAGTTGAGCTCCACTGCCGACCGTGCGCTCCCTCCCGTTAGCTTTCGGGATCTGGGTTCCTTCGAGGAGGTGGGCGCTCTGCCTTCATCGTTTGCTTTGATCTCTATATATGAAGCTCTTTGCTTCTTGAAGTTATAGCAAAGAAGCTGCGTTTTGGTAGGACTCTGTCCCTGGCACACGCCTTCAACTTGAAAGTACAAATTCGGGTTTGTTTCAAGGAAGGATAGCACAACACTTTTGTTCAGTTGGAGATACAGTACTTTTACTTCCAAACTTCTGTGGCTTTCCCATTAAAATCTAAATGACGTCCAAGTAAGGTAAAGCCCTTTCAGAAAATAGTTCTAGAAAATGGCACTGAAAATTGAGTTTGCTGCTTGCTCTGTGCTTGTAATACAGCCTATTTATGAAGTGTCATCATTATCATTATAATTGCTTATTCCGACTTCTATTATTATACAATTGTATCACAGTTGTTTCGCCGGATTTGGCATTGGTTACTAATTGGGCCCCACCCAGGGACCTAGGATGTCGTAATGTATTTTCATAATATATGTGCAGATCCAAGCAGT